CGATTGCTACCTCGACAGCCCCTGGTTCCGGGAGAGGATCCGCGCGCACGAAGCGGAGCTCGAGAGGACCAACAAGTTCATCAAAGAACTCATCAAGGACGGCAAGAACCTCATCGCTGCCACCAAGAGTAAGCAGGGAGACCCGGGCGCGCCGGGCGGGCGGCGGCGTGGCGAGGCCCCGCACCCGGGGTCCGCTCAACTCCCGACCCTGAGATCCTCGGAGTCCCCCCCACCCCCGTCCGTCCGCCCGGCTCCACGGGCCGGGTCGATCCTTCCCGGCCGCTGAGGCTGATCCTCTTTCCCGCCCCTGGCCTCTGCCCACCCCCGCGCCCTTGGGTGCTGCGCCGCCCGCGATCCGTGCCTGCTGGGGCCTGGGCTTTGATCCCACCTCAGCGGCCCACAGCACGGGCAGATCGCTTTGACCTGTTTTATCTCGTGACCTTTCCAAACAGCTTTTATTTACTCATTGGATGCCTCGGGCGGCACGCACTCGGTCTTCCTCGCCCCTTCCCGGGCACTCCGGTCCCAGGTCCCTGGCTGTGCCAAACCAGAAAGTCCACCCGGCCTTGGGCTGCCTCCTGCACATTCCTTCCCACCTCCTGTGCCGGGGACAGTTCAAAGATCGAGGTTTGCAAGGGTCAGCGGGCCGCCGGCCCTTTGGCCCCTGACCGGCCCCGCCTCGGACTGGGAATTCTAAGACTTCTCCAGCTCTGTGCCTTCCCTTTCCTATCTGTCCCCATCTCTCTCTTGAAAAACGCCGTAGAAAACCGGAGAACTCAGTGTAGTGCGGTGATCTTGCAAGGAGTCTAGTCTAAGAGAAGTGGCCTGCGGGGCGTTAGCTCCTGGAGAGCCTGGAGCCTGACCACTCTGCGACCCACTGTCCCTGAGAGGCCACCGTGAGGGAACCAGCCCCCTCCCCTGGCTACTTCCTTCTGGAGAAAGACAGAGACTGAGGCGGCCAAGATGTCAAGGTTAGGGTTCAAAGCCAGCCCAGGCAGGGAAGTCTGCAAGACTATTTCCATTTAAGCACCAAAAAAAAAAAAAAAAAAGGGAAGTGGAGCTATGGCTCAAGTGGTGGAGCACTAGCCTTGAGCAAAAAGCTCAGGGACAATGTCCAGGTCCTGAGTTCAAGACCCTTGACCAGTGCTCACGTGCACACACACACACACACACACACACACATACATCCTGGGACTGGGCCATATCCAGTCTCCCTGTCAGGCCTTTTCTTACTAAGTTGATTTCCTGACTTCATAGTTTGTCTCTTGTAGATCCCACTTCACCCCCATCCTCACGTTTTGCATTATGAAGATTAAGACGTACTCAGCCTACTGCCTCATCTGTCCATCACAGAGCCTGGCCCAGTTAATCTTCATTAAATATATGAGTTGGAATGTATTTTAATAGAAAGATTTTAGTGAGCCATCCCTGTAATTTTGGAAGCAAGTCACTCTGCTTCTTTGGAGACTCTCCAAGGTTCTTTTTGGGTCCTGTGACCTCTTTGGGGTTGCAAAACTAGGATGGAGACCCACTTTTGGGGTGGCATGTGATGAGTGGGCTTATTTGGTGGATGTGCTTCCAGGCCCTTGGCACTGGACTGGTGCGTTGGCTAGCATGCAGGGAGGGGCTGTGCATGTGGAGGAAGTATGGGTAAGTATATAGTCAGGATTGGAGTGAACCTAAGGGTCTGGCTCCCGTGGCTCAGTGTTAACCAGTGTCACTGGGGTGGGGAGTGTCCTTAGTGGCATGGTGGCAGCTCCCTTTGGAGCAGGAGCGATGTGGAGAGAGGCAGATGGCAAAGCCAGTTTGGCCACTGGCAACAAAGCTATTTGTGGGACAGTGTATTCCCTGCTCTGCCAGAAGGAAGCAAGCTTGTGTTCCAGCATCTCGGAGCATCTGGGGGTGGGGGAGTGGGGTGGGGGAGCAGCTGTGAGCCTTCCTCCTTAGAAGGCACACTTCCTGGAATTTGTGAATTGGTGTCTTATTCCTTTTGATTCTTGTCCTTAATTGTAAGAACCATAATTGGTAATCATGCTTCAGGGAGCCATCAGAAACTATCCTGTTCCTCCTCCTCTTAAGTTTCTTTTTACATTCTTTCCCGTGACAGATAGAGCTGTAGTTCACATTTTTTTTTTTTTAATGGGAGGACTTGACTTTCCCCCTGCTTGTTCTGTAATCTTTACTTTTAGTTCTTCCAAAGACTGTGGACAAGTGCTGGACTTGCAGGGTACTGATGGGTCATGCCTATTATCCCAGCTATTTGGGGAAGCAGAGATCTGGACATTTTTTTGAAACTAGCTAGTACATCACTCACATAGTGCCAGGCAGGCAAGCACAAACCCTGGTATCTGTCCTGGGCTTAAAAAGACCAGAGTTTATTTTTATTCCCTGCTGGGCCTTGCTGCATGGAAGTTGATTGCTTGCTTGCTTTTTCTTTTCCTTCTTTCTTTCTTCCCTCCCTCCCTCCCTCCCTCCCTTCCTTCCTTCCTTCCCTCCTCCCCCCCCCTCTCTCTTATTTTCTTTCTTCCTGTGATATTGTGGTTTTAAATTCAGGGACTCACATACATTTGCTAGTCAGGTGTTCTATTTCTGAGCCACATCTATCACTAGCTGTTTTTTTTTTGGTTGGTAATGGGGCTTGAACTCTGGGTCTGGGCACTGTTTCTGAGCTCTTCAGCTCAAGGCAGGCACTCTATCACTTGAGGCACAGTGCCACTTCCTGTTTTCTGAGTGGTTAATTGGAGATAAGAGTTTCACAGACTTTCCTGCATGGGCTGGCTTTGAACTGTGATCCTCAGATCTCAGCCTCCTGAGTAGCTAGGATTACAGGCGTGAGCCACCAGCACCCAGCTCACTAGCTATTTTTTAAATAGTGTCTCACTTTCTCCCTGGTGCACACCTGGACTACTCTCTGCCTATTTGAGGCTTCCTGATATTGCTAGAATGATAGGTGCACACAACTGGGTCTACTTTTCCTTTACTGAGTTGGAAACAAACTCATGGACCTGATTTAAGACCATGATCCTCCCAACCTCACCCTCACCCTCACCTGTAACTTCTTAGAGTAACAGGCATGAGACACTGTGTCCAATTTCTTTCGTGTTTGGTTTCTCATTTTTTGGAGGGATTAGTAATGTTCTCAGCAATTGGAAATGGCAAGATGAGATCATTGAAAATTTTAGGTCTGTGGTTCACCTAATTGTTGATCCTTTCTAAAACACTGGAGTCAGAGAATCATGGAAGGGCAACAGGCACCAGAGGGAGGATCTACAGAAAGGGTAGCAAATAACTGAGTCAGATTGTTCATATTTCTGGATGTTTTATACGTTATTTTGCAACAGTAGCCTTTTGTGTATTTTAAGGATTATGTGTTTAAATGAGTTCTGTTTTTGATTGTCTTTTAAGATGCCTTCTTGGTGCACTAAATTCTTGTTAGGCTTGTGTAATTTGGGTGTCTTGAAGTGTCTTTGAAATTGTTGATACTTATTTAAAGAAGTCGTGGGTCTGTAGGACTTGAAGGCTTGCTGCTTAGTTCTATTACAGAGGAATCAGCAAATAGTTCCTCTTATTTGGTTAATGTTGACTGGTAATCAAAGAAATAATAAGGTAGAGGTTCCTTGCCCTTGAGTTTATTTTTGTGTTTGAATTCATTTTTTTTGGCTTGAACCCTGGGCCTGGGATCTGTCTCTGAGCTTTTTCTCAAGGTTAGCTCTCTACCACTTGAGCTACTATGTCACTTCTGGCTCTTTCTGAGTAGTTTATTGGACATCAGAGTCTCTAACTTTCCTACTTGGGCTGGCTTTGAACTGCTATCTTCAGATCTCAGCCTCCTGAGTAGTTAGATTACAGGCATGAGCCACCCAAGCCCAGCTGAATTCACTTTTAAAGAACACTTTTTTTTTTTTTTTGGGTCCGGTTGTGGGGCCTGAACTCTGAGCCTGGACGCTGTCCCTCAGCTCTTCAGCTCAAGGCTGTGCTCTATCACTTAAGCCACAGCGCCACCTCCGGCTTTTTTCTTTTTGCTTATGTGGTGCTGAGGAATCGAACCCAGGGCCTCAGGCATGCAAGGCAAGTGCTCTACCACTGAGCCACCTTCCCAGCCCTTAAAGAACACTTTTGAACACCCCTCTGCACTATGCTAAATTCTTGAAGAAAAGGATATGCAAATAAATATGTTAAAGATTAGGTGATAGGTAAGTATTCTCTCATTGCCAGGAACAAGTTTTCTCAGAGTTTTGGAACTTGAGTTGTTTTAAGTAAGAAAACTTTGTCAGATTGGAAACAAACAAGAAAGCCTGTAGTGTTGGGGACAGAAAGGAGACCAGTTTGGCTGGAGTGGAGATTGTGTATCTGGGAGTAGACTGGGCCAAATGCAAAGGTCGGTTTTATATGATAGAGGCCCTATAAGCAAGATTGGGAAGGTGGACTTGATTCCTTGGAGAATGATGTGCCGAAGCCTGACACAATTGGAGGCAGTATGGGCTGTTTGTGTGTAGGACTTTGGGAGATACAGCCAGGGTAGGAGGAGCTCCAGAGAGAAGAGGATTGACTTCTGTGCTAGCTATGGAGATCATTCACTCAGTTCAATGGACTCTTTGTTCAAGTGGCTTTTTAGTTCTTCCTTTTGTCGCTCCTTTCCTTTCGTAGAATAACTAGTGTCCTCTTCCAGTGCCATTTAAATGTCTGAAATCCTTTAGACTGATGTCTGTGTGGCTGTAGGTACTTATGACTCATACAAATATAAGACATATTTGGCAGGAACAGTAGGATGTAAACATTTTTCTCATAAATTCTACATTAGGCATGCTAGAGAAAAGTATGGAAAGTATTTTCTGCAACCATTTAAACAGTCCTAGCCATTGATTAGCCACTTACCTTGTTTTATCAAATGCTCGTTAGTAAACTTGAGGGCCGCTTGGGTGGACAAGTCAGAAGTGACCTTGCTAGTAAATGTCAGAACTAGAATAAGTTTCCCAGGACTTGGTTTTAGTACTGTAAGCCTTGGTATATTCTTTGGGCCAAAGAAAGCAATGTGGACCGTCTCTGGTTGAATCATTCCTTGTGATATCTTCAGTGCTCACCTGGGGTTTCGCTGGAAGTTTGGTTTACAGCAGGATGTAGGCTGGTG